CAAGAAAAACCCTAACACCTTGTTTTTTATATGATGTGAGATTGCATCTTAACATTAAAATCCAAACAAAAAATACTCCTAGGTGTGCTGGTGAATACTTTGTAATGGCAGCACTTAGGAGGCTGGAACAGAAGGATCAGGAGTTCACAGACATCCTAGGGTACATAGCAAGTTCAACACTCTCAACCAACCAAAGCCGGGGGTGGTGATATATGCCTAAAATCTAATAATTTGGGGGTTTGGGGTGGAGGCAAGAGGATCAGGAGTTGGAGGCCACCTTTGGCTATACATTGAGCTTGAGGCTAGCCAGAGTTATATGATACCCTTTCTTAAAAACAAAGAGCAAAGCCTGTCTGTCAACACCAGCCCAGTGTGGGAGCATATGCTTGTCATCCAGCACTCAGGGCAAAGGCAGGAAGACAGGAATTTGAACCAGACCCAAACAGAATAGAATCCCCTCCCCACCCCCAACAAAACAGACCAGCACTGAACTCAAGCCACTGACTCAGCTTTGGCAAGAGGAGCTCACATGGAGACTTGGTTTTTTGTTTTGTTTTTCTTAGTGCCCTTATGGAGTGGTGTGAATGTTGCTGGCATACCTCTGAAGTCACTGAACCCAGCATTAGGAACGGACTCAGACAAGGAACAGTGGAAACAGATCCACAAACAAGTGGTGGAAAGGTGACAGTAGTTCTGTGATTTTTAATGCCCCAATCATTATTATTAAGAATAAAGCCGGGCAGTGCTGGCACACGCCTTTAATACCAGCACTTGGGAGGCAGAGCCAGTCAGATCTCTGTGAGTTCTATGATGAGATATGGTGCCTTCTTCTGTCATGTAGGCATACATTCCGGCAGAACACTGCATACAAAATAAATGAGTCAAAAAAATAAAAGAATAAAATTTGAGCCAGGTGGTGTTGGCACATGCCTTTAATCCTAATACTCAGAAGGCAGAGGCAGGTGGATCTCTCTGAGTTCAAGGCCAGCCTGGTCTACAGAGCTAGTTTCAGGATAACCAAGACTACACAGAGAAGCTCTATCTTGAAAAATCAATAAAATAAAATAAAATAAAATAAAAGTTAATTCCATCTTGTGGTTCTTATGTCCTAGTATTTTGATTTCATGATACAGATGAACTGATTCTTTTTTTTGTTCTTTTTCTTGTTTTGAGACAGAGTCTCTCTATGTAGACTAGGCCGACCTAGAACTCCTATAGATCTGCTTTTCTCTGCCTCCTAGTACTTGGATTAAAGACATTTGCCACTATGCCTGACAAGTAATAATGACTTATTTTTTTGAGACAGGATCTTATTGTATATATATATATATATACACATATATATGTATGTGTGTGCGCATATATATACACATATATATACACATATATATATACACACACACACATATATGTATATGTATATGGTTGGCCCAGAACTCACTATGTAGATCAAGCTGGCCTGGAACTCAAGATATTCACCTGTGCTCCACCATGCCTGGCTGAAGTCTATTTTTAAAAATTCTAAGTCATGCCAGGCGGTGGTGGCGCACGCCTTTAATCCCAGCACTCGGGAGGCAGAGCCAGGCGGAGCTCTGTGAGTTCGAGGCCAGCCTGGGCTACCAAGTGAGTTCCAGCCTGGGCTACCAAGTGAGTTCCAGCCTGGGCTACCAAGTGAGTTCCAGCCTGGGCTACCAAGTGAGTTCCAGGAAAGGCACAAAGCTACACAGAGAAACCCTGTCTCGAAGAAGAAAAAAAAAGAAAAAAAAATTCTAAGTCATGAACACTTCTAGAAGATCTCTGAGAAAATGTTAATATCATGGCATAGACAGAGATGCTTCATAAGGGATAGGTGAGCAACAACGTTGTCTCTGAGTTGACCTCTCATGATTTTGGTTTCCTTGCTCACATCACTGCAGTGCCTATGAGATTGTTCGGCTGAAGGGCTACACCTCTTGGGCTATTGGGCTCTCTGTGATGGATCTGGCAGGATCAATGCTGAAGAATCTTAGGAGAGTGCATCCCGTTTCCACACTGGTTAAGGTATGCCTGGAGGAAATGTGCATTTATCATAGTCCTGGTCACTGGTGAGGTTGAGTGTAAAGTAACTTCAGAATGAGGCAGGTGATGGAGTTGATGCAGGAAGTATTAGGAGAACACAGGAGTGAGGGACCACCCTGCGCTCTTAGGAAAGTTGGAGAGTATGAGACTCTGGTCATGTATGGGAATTTGGGAAGCACTGTCAGAGTCTAGAGACCCTGACCCTCAACACTTGTACCTGACATGTTTATAGCCAAAGCTCTTCCATTACCATCCACAAATGTAGCCTCAGCCACGGAGGTGTGGAGGTCCAGGGCAGGAAGATGGGAAGAGTTCCCTGTGTGTTTCATCTTCCAGGAGTGGTGGTGGGGTAGGTAGTATGGGGGCTTATGCAGGCAGATGTATAGCCTGACTATAACAGTGTCTCACATCTGTTTTCATAGCCTTGGCTATGGGAATGTAGAGAATGTTGGGCCACTGGCTAGAATTCCACAGCTAAGTAATGTAGTGGCTACACCTCTCCCATGTTCCTGTCTGGCCTTGGAGTTCTAGGGTGGCTCTCCAGGAAAGGTGGCAGTTTAAGGGTACAGGACAGGGTTACATCTCAAGGACATGTCCCCACATACTACCCTAGGCATGTTGGAGTAGTGCTGGGCTCCTCCTTTGGGACTTCGCTTCTGGAGGCTTAAGAAGCTATCTGTAGCAACTGGTGTCCAGACTCAGTGGTGGCCTCTGTTAAAAGGTACAAAGTAGAGGCTTCCTGGTCACCACCCACTTTAGCCTTCCCTGTCCCCTTGGTGTACACAGAGGCTCCTTGCTTTCAGCCCTTCACCAGATATAAAGGTCACATAAAGACAGCACCACATCCTTCCCTTTTGAAATTAAGGTGGTCTGTTAAGGGAGGGAGGGAGGGAGGGAGGGGGATTTTACCTTTCCCTGATCCTGGCACGTTCTTCTTGTTGGTGGCCACCCACACAGTCCAGGACAAAGACGGCTCTGAGCTCTGCCTCTGCACAGCTCTGCTTGGTGCTATAGTCTACTGCTCATTTTCATTCTGATGCTCTCCTGCACAGTGGCAAGAGAATCAAACAATGATGTGACCTTGTATTTTAGGGCTTATATGGGATCAAGGAAGAAATCTTTCTCAGTGTTCCTTGTATCTTGGGACGAAACGGCGTCACGGACATTGTGAAAGTGAACCTGAACCCTAATGAGGAGGAACTTATCAGGAAGAGTGCAGAAACACTGTGGAACGTCCAGAAGGACCTGGAAATATGAAGTCTCAGTATTCTACACTTTTACAGATGTATGATTGCATATTTTGCATTTCAAGTGTTTTCGTATAATAAAAAGTTAAACAAAATATTGGAGACCTATGACATAACAGCAGTCTCTTGAGGTCAGAAAGATAAGTGCTGAAATCATTTCTTCCTCCCCTTTCTTTTGAGACAGGGTCTCACTATAGAGCCTGGCTGGTCTGGAACTCTAGACCTGGCTGGCCTCAGAGGTCTTGTAGCCTTGAAGTGCTGGGATTAAAGGCATGCACCACCATGCCCAGCTGAAATGTCTGCCTTTTATGAATCTTCTGTGTCTGTTCCAGCAATGAGGTCCGTACAGGTTGGAATTATGATTCCGAGGCACCAATGAGTGAATAGCTCTCAACTTCCACAGCGCACATGTGACACAGGAAATCCTCCTTCTAGCTTGAAGTTTCACAGTGTGTCTCTTCCATTGCATCACATTGCTTAATTGGTTCCCATGTCTGTGTATACTCTTTACTAAATATTTACAAGATCATACATATCAAGGGCCTGGAGATATGGCTCAGTGGTTAAGGCACTTGCTGCCTTTCCAGAGGACTTTGGTTCAGTCCCCCGCACCCACATGGATCTCCAGTTCCATAAGATCTCACTCCATCTTCTGCACTCTGATCACCAGGCACACACACATGCAGGTGAAACATTCACAGACAACAGAAAACAATAAAGCTTTAAAAAAACGAACATATGGGCTGGAGAGATGGCTCAGTAGTTAAGAACACTGGCTGTTCTTCCAGAGGTCCTGAGTTCAATTCCCAGCAACCACATGGTGGCTCACAACCGTCTGTAATGAGATCTGGCGCCCTCTTCTGGCCTGCAGAAAGAATACTGTATACATAATAAATCTTAAAAAACAAAACAAAAACCAACCATATATATCAGAAGGAAAACAGAGATACAACTTTTGAAGTGGGGTAGGGCTGGGTGCGGTGACACCAGTGCCCAGGAGGCAGAGGAACGGGGTTTGTTTAGCACACCACTAACTGCATCACCATGCTTTGATTAGGACTCGGTCCCAGTGAGCCAGTGTTCAGTGTGCATCAGCTAATTCATCGCTAATGTTAAAAAACTTCAGTCACTTCCTCTTGACATTCAAGGTGGGAATGCATGTGTTCTTCCTGATTTACACATGCACGCCATTTCCTTGATTCCATGAAGAATTTGAGGCAGACGTTGGAGACATACAAAGAAAAACTAAGAAACCAAGTACAAGGTGACATACTAATAGGACAGGACTCCTCAGACAACAAGATAGACAGGCCCTGAGGATGCCTGTGTTTTAGTGATACTCCCACTGGGTCATCTTTTGGCTGCTCAGCCCTCTACTACTATCTAGATAACCCTCATAGCCTTGTAGTCCTGTTGTCCTGACAGTGTTCATTAGTCACCCAGTGAAGATCCCATTATTTTCTTCCTGGAATAAACAACATATAGTTATTAAAGCAGGTGGAAAGAATTTCCCCATGGGCTTTGTTGTTTTAATGACTTATTTTCACTGTGTGTCTGTGTGTGAGTGCACGTGTGCACTTGTGCTTGCTTGCCTGTACACGCACCATATGCATGCCAGGTAAGTGAAGAGGCGTGAAGAGGCCAGGCGAGCAATGTCTCTCCTGGAGCTAAAGTTTCAGGAAATCATGAGCTACCTGATGCTGGTGCTGAGACCACATGCAGATCTTCTATAAGAGCAGCCAGTGTTCTTTAACTGCCAAACCATTTCTCCCGTCACTTAAAAAGTCTTTTTGTCCACCAAATTAAAACTTCACTTTAGGATGAGCCCTGATTGACTATCCAATACCTAATGCTCAGTCCTTTTTTAAGGACATACAAGCAACCCATCGAGTTGTGTAGCCAGGTTTCTTAGGTCCTGCAGCGGTCCTGCAGCTGCTTATAAAATAATCACTCAGAGGCTTCATATTATTTACAAACTGTATGATCTATGGCAGGTTTCTTGCTAGATAGCTCTTTCATCTAAAATTAGCCCATCTCTATGAATCTGTGTTTTGTGACATTACCGATCTGCTGGCATCTTGCCTCTCCTTGGGCGGCGGCTAGGCATCTCCCTTTCCTTTCCTTTCACTGTCCCTCTTGCATTTTCCCGCCTCCATCCTGCCCTGCCATAGGCCAACGCAGCTTTATTTATCAACCAATCAGAGCAACACATATTCACAGTGTACAGAAAGACATCCCAGGGCAGGGTTGTATTTATGTGTAGTAACAATGATTAAAGAAGAGAAGGCCTGGGACTACAGAGACATACATGGTTTTCAGCAGCCACATGTGGTTCACAACTGGCTGTAACTCCAGTTCTGGGGGCTTGGATGTTCTCTTCTGACCACCTGCAGTCACTTCATCACGGGTATGTGTTCATGCAAGCAAACACCCTCATTAAAAAAAAATTTTTTTTTAAATCTTTTTTTAACCAGGCGGTGGTGGCGCATGCCTTTAATCCCAGCACTTGGGAGGCAGAGCCAGGCAGAACTCTGTGAGTTCGAGGCCAGCCTGGTCTATAGAGCAAGATCCAGGACAGGAACCAAAACTACACAGAGAAACCCTGTCTCAAAAAACCAAAATAGCCGGGCGGTGGTGGCGCACGCCTTTAATCCCAGCACTCGGGAGGCAGAGCCCGGCGGATCTCTGTGAGTTCGAGGCCAGCCTGGGCTACCAAGTGAGTTCCAGGAAAAGGCGCAAAGCTACACAGAGAAACCCTGTCTCGAAAAACCAAAAA